CCAGATAGTGACGTAGGTATGTGGGGGCGTGTTAGAACGAGCCGTTTTAGGTAGGTGTGGCTGACTCCGAACTTTTATAAAGAATATCTCTTTGGATTTGAGACTTTAGTCTTTGCAACTTTACAGATCTTCTTTATGCACCAAGAGCTTGTAACACTCCAAAGAGAAAGGAAAAAATGAAATTGCATCATATGACCCCTTTAACGTTACTGGATTTCCAATACTGTTACCTTGTTTGGTATGGTATTGGTTAAGCCTTCACAATCAAAATGAATTATTAATGAATATCTTGTTAATAATTACTCAAGTAGATAGTTAACCTACTAACGTTAACCATCATTTCAGTGAATATAACTACTATTACTGCTACTTACGGTGAGCAGCTGTCTCTACGATGCTTCTGAGTCTGTTCTTATCATTACTGCTGATAATGTTTAGATCCATAAACACAGACATTTTTCTTCCACTGTTTTTACAAACGCAAATTTATATAAAGTTTACTTCTTATCGCATAAATTTAAAACAATTCAACAAATGTAATGCCACATGCACAAACAGACTGCACGTTGAAGCGTGAACCAGAAGTATGGACCACGTGTTAATTGCGCTTTATGGGTCATGTAGTTCGCATATGCCATTTTTGCAATGTTTTCGTTTATCCTGTCAGTCAACTAGAACTACAATACATTTTACTTCCGCTTTATAGTGATGTCCGGTTCGCGAACGAATCGTTCTTTTGAACCTGTTCTTTTTAGTGAACCTGTCGAACCGGTTCACCAAATCGGACTGAATCATTCAAAACAGTTCGCATCTCGAGTCAGCACTGATCCACAATTTTCTAAAGTTTCTCACTTTCAGACATGCCTTACAGTCCCTACACGACTCGAAATAAACCAGTGTCCCGGAGTATGTTACTCCTGTAACTCCAACAGCACTGAAACATGCTGTGCAGACTGAGAGAACCGACGAGCACGAGCAGCTGACACACTGAGCGTACTACCGATGCTGTGCTGATATTAATATATATATATATGAGCGCGAGTGAAACGAGGACTTGAATGAGGGGGTGAATTTGACGAAATTAAGTTTAATTAATAATAGATAAAAGTTACTGGAAAATGCAAATGCATAGTTATGTTAAACAACATTTTAACATGACGAACATGCAACAACTGCAGTCAAAACATGTAAATGAATTTTAATATTTACTATTGTGTTTAAGCGTTATGAGCTGGTTTTCTGTACGGTTACGTTTCTGTTACCAATATAAAGCTGGTTCGACGTTTGACATTAGTCAGAGATTCAGCCTCGGAAATCTTCAACAGTTCTTTAACGATTTACAAGGACAAGAAACATAACGTGTTATAATTGTTTTCAAATGTAAAAGAGAACACACAATGTGTTACATCTCAACTTCAAAGGGTGTGTCTTACTGGTTCATAGACGAACATTTAAATGTTGGTTTTATTCACAAAACTAACACAGCACATGATATTGGAATGTCAACGAATAATTACCGGTTCATAAAAGAACATTTAGATGTTGGTTTTATTCACAGAACTGTAGCACAACAAAAGCTACTGAAATGGAATAATTTAGAAAAAGCTTGCAAAGCATTACAAAGATTGTGCGGTTTATCGCCCCCTAGAGGAAGATATTGCACTTGTCTTGACCAAGTTTTAATAAACTAATTTAGAATGCACACAGTTTGATATGTAAACTTAAATGGGTGTGTCTTGTTACTTGTTTAAAGAACGATATTTACAGCCGTCTTTTACTATCATATGTAAATCAGGATGCACGCTATTGAATTAAAGTTGAATCTGTTAACACATTCATTTTTAAAACATACACAAAACTATAACACAGCACATGATATTGAAATGTCAACGAATACATCAATCAATGTAAAGTAAATACGCTCTTCTCTCTCAACTTCAAAGGGTGTGTCTTGTTAGTGGTTCCTAAACAAATATGTTAGATGTTTGTTTTTTTTTCACAGAACTATAAGACAACACATGATATTAAAATGTAAACAAATACATCAATTAATTTCCTATAAATGTACTATTCTATCTCAATTTCTAAGGGTGTCTTGATACTTGTTCCTAAAATAATATTTCAATGTTGATATTCACATAACTATAAGACAAATAAACTTATTGAAATGTAAAAATTGAGAAAAAGCTTATTAAGATGTGCAGTACACCGCCCCCTAGAGGAACACATAGCAGTTGTTTTGACTGAGTTTAAAGGGGTCATATGATGCGATTTCAAGTTTTCCTTTCTCTTTGGAGTGTTACTACTATGCGAACATTACTCTCCGCAAAAGTTCGTGTTTTTTTCCTGCACATAACATAATGAAGGGTTATTACATTTCTTTTGCTTATTATCTTTCATATTACTACATGTAAACAGTAGT